ATGGGGGTGTGGGTGTTCGTGTTCATCTTCTCTTAATCCACACGCATCCACACCCACCCACCCACACCCACCCACACCCACACCCACACCCACCCACACCTCACACCCACACTCCACATCCACACCCACACCCTCATTGTTTTAATAAACAGGATTGTTTTGGTTAATTCGTTCATCTTTGGCTCTTTAATGTGAAATACTTTCAATATAGATCGATACCGTGAAAATATGATTTATCTTGTAAAAAACATGCTCAATCTTCGTATATTAGATGTCAAATGCAAAAATGATGAATGTCTTGGAAAACTATTCCTAACAATACAAAATAATAATCTTCTTCAACAGTTAAAAGATCGTTTATCATTAACATATGTGATTATATATAATCCATGAACTAACGATAATATTGTAATATGGATATTATAATGGTATTCAAATAAATTCATAAAATATAATCTGCCTATCTTTTGATATTAATCAAATCAAATAATATTAAAATATCTAACCATTCAAAAATTATTGGAAAGAAAGAATAGGACAAACGAAAATTTCGTACAAACGAGTAACGAAAATCGAATTTTATCGAGAGTTTAGATCATATTGACTTTGAATTATTAGCATTTCTTTCAGAAGGTCACCATTTATTCGATAGATTGATATTATAAACATTAGAAATATTTTGTTATTACAATACCATTGTTAAGTAACTTTCCAATGTTAGAAAAAAAGACGAGAAAATACTACACTAAAATAACAGAACTGCATTTCGAATTAACCTTTACAAAAAAAGATTTCTAATCTTTTTTTATGAGTCAAAAACAAGAAGATGATTATGAATAGATTACATCAATTCAAACAACATTTATGTATGATATAAGTCAAAGTATATGTATCTTCTTCCATACTAAATCCATATTGAAATAACATTGCTACTGTAATGTGGATCATTAATGACCAAATATGTCGACGGTAAATGATCTTTTAACCATTGAACAAGTTGATCGATCATCTGTCTTGCTGTTTTATAACATTCATCATATTGTGCTGCTGTTTTCATTTTCAAATTTTCCCAATTCATTCCATCATCGTAACAAATATATAGTACTCGAAGTTTGATCATATGTTTAACGAGATGAATGATAGTTTCACGATTATTAACTTCAATGAAAAGAACTTCACATTGTACGCCTAAAGATGAATGACTGAATAAAATACATTCTTCTTCATTGAAACAATAGTCACAGCCAATTAAATTTAGTTCACGAACTGACGTATTTCTATAATTGAATAATGACAAGTGTAATGGTAATGATCCATCTTGTCCCAATCTAAGTATTCGAAGATGAGGTGCTCGATCTAATAAAATCTGAAGTTCAAATTGAAAAGTGTCAGTATGAGATAATACAGTAAGTGAGTGAAGTCGATTGAAATTTGAAAATATTGACCAAATTTTTTCATTGATAGGAAGTTTTATAGTAAGATGATCAATGTTAGATAAACAAATATTTAATGAAACTAATTCATTAAGAAATGTTTCGCTATCAATGCTAGTTATCTCATTATGAAATTGTTGTTGATTATCATGTGGAGATGTTGATTGCCAAAAGTCAGGAGTTATACATCCGTGATAATTATATGTACTACAAAGACTATGGAGAACGATGATTTTCTTCCATGTAAAACATCGAAAAAACCATTGTCGTTCATTAATCCAAAATGAACTTCGAAATGAATTTATTAATTTATCGACTTGTCTTTGTAATTGTATATTTGGATTGTTAAAAAATGCTTTATTCATTCTTAGTCGAAATATTTTAAGTTTTGGCAAATGAATACGAATAATTTGTTCCCATTTGTAACCGTTAATTAGACTATGTTTAAGACGGATATGCAAATAATATAAATTAGACATATTTTGTAAAAGTATATCAAGTTTCGAAATGATTGATTTATCAGGACAATAAAAGTTTAATTTAATTAGACCTGGAGGTGGCAATAGTATATAATTGTCGACAACAGATGGTTCATTAAGTATCGAAAGATGTTTAAGTTCAGGTACGTAGTGAAATAATCGATTTACTTGATTCCATTGAAGTTTACTGTGAGGTAGATATAGATATTTAAGAGATGAGGAAATAATTGTTGGTAGACAAAAATTTGGTTGTCTTTCGATTCTAACATCAAAATGACAGTAAGTGAGTTTTGGTAAACTCCAGATTTTATCAATAATTAATTGAAGATCAACTGAGGAGGTTAAAAAAGAATAAAAATAGAAAGTTAAATGAATGAGATTATAAAGATAATGACATTCATTGAGAAATTGTACTACTGTATCATATGAATGAATGTTAGATAAAGTAAGTGATTGCAATTGAGTGAATCGATGGAGTGATGGTATATAAGAAAAAAATAGACTCATTTGTTTTGGTGTATCACGATAATCAGAGAATGCAAGAGAAATAACTTTATTTGCAATGAACGGTAAATGTTGTTGACATATTAGATCGAAGGTACATTTTGATATAGATTTAAAATTGAAACAATACAATTGAAATTGTTTGTAAAGAAGAAGATTCAAATGAGAATTGAGATCATAAAATGTCTGAAGAAGGTCAATACCATTAAAATATTCGAACAAAATGAGTAAAATCTCGTTAGGTAAGTGTTCTAATATCGTTACATTTGTTTCTTCTTTATTTCGAGTTCGATATAATGAAGTAGTAGACATGATAAATGAAGTTAAGTATAAGCTTTTTTCAATAGAAATATTGATTTATTAAGTTTTATCTGCTGCTAGTCACAGTATGAACGGACTATATAAACAGTAGATGGTCGGTCAACAAAGAATGTTGAAACTCACGAATCATATTAAACAGAATAGAATTATAAACAAATGGATACGACGAATCTAAAATGATCATATAATCTATCTTGATTGGTTAGTTCAAACGTTACTATGTCTTGTCTATTCTATTCGTTGCATTGGTTCTGCCTAGTCATCAAAACAAGAAATAATAAAAAAAAAGAGGGCAAGATATTAGCCTGACCATCGGACGAACATTGTAAAAGGAGCAGAAGCACAACTGGTTCAACTGCATATTAGTCACACTCTACACTAATTAGTGTGAACAACAAGGTATATCAAAGAGTGTGGGTGCCGCAGTGTGACTAATCTACAGTTGTACCGTGAAGTTGTATGTCGCCATTGGGAATCATTTTTTCGAATATCAATTCTCAAAATGAATCATAACATTGATAGGAAAAGTTGTAATGAGCATCATCTTTCGCCTTTTCCCTTTTTCACAGTCGTCTATCCTCCAAACATTGTTACCTAAGAACGCTCTCTTCTTTTCTTTGAAGGACCGTTCACAAGCTAGCAAATGACATGCTTGTCCAATTGATAATTCGATTGGAGACAAATACATAAAGACATATTCCATGTACATATCAAGCAATAGGAAACATAGCTTTGTTGTTATTGAACAGAAAGTCAAAGAGATGAGTGAGTCAAATGTATTCCGATTGGAAGATCTATCTGTGGAACTTCTCTTCGAAATATTTAAATATCTCACACCCGATGAACTCTATGCATTGATCGTTTATCTAAATACTCATCTTAATTCGATTCTCAAAAAGAAATCCAATTTATTTCTTGTGGCAGGAACTCATTTGAATCTTGTGCTTTCCTTTGTGGCTTGTTCGTTGCACTACGCATTTATTTGACTTATCCAACTCAATCTCGTCGTTCCCAATTTCAATTTCTGAATTTTGTCACTATTCGTTCATTGAAAATTCATAGCTCCTGTTATGCATACTGGAAAGTTGTATCAATCGATGAACTGAGCTCATTTACTCATCTGAATTGATGTGTTATCGATGCTTATGAGAAAAAGTTTTTTCATCAATAACGATTAGTTCACTAATAACTCTTCGTCGATTTGTTACGAACGGACAAAATGGAAATGAGTTTCAAGCGATTCTCTTCATGTGTCCCAATTTAAATTTGCTTCAATTCAAACATCGTGATAAATAGCTTTTATTTATTATCTCTACTCTTCGCTATCCATTCATGAAACATCTATACATCGAACAAGGGTGTGGGTGTGGGTGTGGGTGTGGGGTGTGGGGTGTGGGTGTGGATGGGTGTGGGTGTGGTTGTGGTTGTGGGTTTGGGTAACCTCTTTCCTCAACCCACCCCCACCCCCACCCCCACCCCCCCTTTAAATTGCGTGAGCTTTTTTTTTTTATTTTATTTTTATTATAATTTATGTCAGTCTGATATCGACTTTGTTCTTTTTTTTTCACATATTTAAGCAAAATGACGAAATGGCAATAATATATCCATCAATTATGAACGTGTACTGAAAAGGATTTTTTCAAAATCGAATAAATCAATTTGAAATTGAAATTCTGCTTGATCATTTTCTCTTGTTCTCAATTTAATATGTATATTAAATGGAAAACCATAAAAATGTAAATAGAAGTTCTAATATCAACTTTCAAATTGTTGAATAATGCATTAAGAAACCATAATGATGAAAATAAATCATATAGTTTGTTTAAAAAGAAATATAAAAGCTTATCTAATACTCGAAAAGCATGGAAATTTATTCAAGAAGAAGTGTAAGCCGATCGACCTGAGACACCCCCAGCGTTGCCGTAAATAACTACTAAAATTTTAGCCGTGACAAAAAAAGAAATACTAGATTTTTGACAATTTTGAACACTCAGAATCATTTTTCATACATCTTCTTGTTAGAATGTTTCCTAGTCGAATTTATTCTCTCCTGCGCATGAGTTTTTTGAACTTCTTGAGCAAAAAGAGTGATATGATATAGATGCATCTTGAGGTATGCGCCTGTCGAGTACATGAAGAAAAAAGTTCACGTTCGGCTCTCTTCTACCAATATTTCTCTTTTTCATGTCAAAAGTTCTCGAAACAAAGAAAATTTTTAAAAAACATCATGAAAAAATTTCAGCCGCCGCTGATCAACAACATTGACTTCCACCTTTATGCATAATATACTGGATAGTTCGACCCACTCGACATTTAATTCATATACAAAATATCTTTCCCGATTATTTATATGTGATGACTAAAACAACTTGCACATTCTTCAAGCAATTGTAGCAATAGAATTCTGTCAAGGTCTACATGAATTGAAGTGCCCTTTCAATAAAATTTTTCTTTCGATAAATTCACAATGAAAAGAAAGAAATTTATTGAATAATAATTGAATAAACTTCTGCTAGAGCATTATCAAAACCTCCACCATTAAAAACTGGAACAAGATTTGTTTGTGATCCATCTTTTACACGAGTTATTTTTAATATTTGTCGCTCTTGAAAATTTTCAGTGTTAAAAGAAAGTTGTTTTGGTGTCCATGTAAAACAATCAGTACATTCCCTTAATTTCCATTGAATAATAACAGTATCATTTCCATTTATTCGATGTGGTGGAGTTGGAAGCCAAATTTCAACTTCTACACTTTCATTTAAATTTACTTTTGCTGTTTGTGGATAATGCAAAAGTCCAAGCATAGTATCTTGGCATATGAATGACCAATTTTTTGGAAGTGAATTGAAGTATTTATCATCTGGTTTTCCCATGGATATTATTGTATAAGGATATGTTGCTTTGACAATATTCCATCCTTGACGAACAACTCTACTTAATCGAAGAGGAATTTGTGTATTTTTTTTAAAATAAATTTCTTCACATGGATAAGTTTCTCCAGTCTGCACTTTGCATGTTACATCTGAATACCAATAATCCTCATCTATAGAAGAATCATTTGAATGTATCATATTATAAGTAAATTTCATATAATTTTTTATTTCAAATGAAGTTCCATTAACCCAATCGGAAGGAAATGAATTATATATATTTCCACCATACTTCCAATATGTTCCATAAGCACACCAATTCGATGGATGTACTACTAATAATTGAACATAATATTTTGATTGGGGGGAATCAGGAATTGCATATGGAAAATGTTTCATCACGAAAGCTGTTTCTCCTCCTGTAGAAATGTATGCTCGTTGATTTATTTCATCAATTGCAATTATTGTTTTACCGCCATCAGGGGAAAAAACAATTTGAGGTGGAAAATACGGCTGACTACTACACTCAACAGAATAATAATATAGAATGAATGATATTAAATACAAATACATTTTCATCATTTCAAATTTCTAAAATAATTTACTGAAAATTTTTCAGTATATATAAATGTTTTTTTTTCTTTTAATATACTATAAGTAAATCATCATGAAATGATGAGTTGACAAAAAAAAAGCAGCATTGTAATATACTTTTATCCTTATATTTGCCTTAAGTTTGGTTTTTTTTACAGATTAATATTCCACCTATGTCAACCTTATCAGATCCTTGTGGAATGAAACAATGTCTTTTCTTTTTCTTTTGAAATAGTCGAGCAAAATGACGACGTTATAATAAAAGTATCATCATTCAATCAAAAAAGTGTACTGAAGATATTTTTAAGAAAGCCCATTAAACGACGTTGATATGAAAATTCAATTGTTTTTGCTTTTCCGAAGGATTTCACAAGAGATTGTTACCATTGAATAGAGTTTGAGTTTCATTTCGACACAAAAATGACTAGAATACCCCATAGAAGTACTTATAATTATTATTGATCTGTTCATTCTAACTGAGGTATCATACTGCAAACATTGCGAAAATGATGTTTTATTTTTCCACAATTAAATAATTTTTAAGATAAAAAATCTATTTCGATTATTTCATAAATATCCAAGATGAATAGAAGGATATTTATTAAATAAAAATTGAATAAATATATCATCTGGAACATCGACACCCACACTCGTCAACGGAAAAATGGAAATCAATGGAGAAAATGATAATTTCGCTAGAAATAATGGAATGATATTAATAATAATAAGAAAGATGCTTTTCTTCTTTAGCTTAAACACATAATTTGCCAGCAGAAAAATGAAAATCAATGACAACAGCGATCATTTCTATAAGAATAATGCTGTAGAAAAATTGAATGATTTTAATAGAAATAGAAAACATATTGCTCTTTTTTGAGTTATACATATAGTTTATGATTACTATATCCTTGTTTTTTTTTGTCTCCATGCCTTGTGCTTTCTATGATGTGATTTCATCGTATATAAACAAGGTTCTTCGATATATAGTATTGTCCAAACAGCATACAAACAGAAAGGAAAGATAAAAATTTTTGCTTCGCAAGACTGTCTACTCCAAAATGTCTTTCTCAAACGATCAAAAAGCCGATCATTGCAATCATTTATTGTCTTTTCGTGAGAGAAAGGAAGTCAATGTGAAAATTATTGATATCTATAAGAATAATGAACAAAAAACGAATAGAGCAATGTCGACGGTTGCTAAAAAAGATACACTTTGGCGACAATGTAACAGATGAATTTTGATTGTTGTTGATTATTAGCAAAAATGATTCTAGAATCATTACGCATTTTTCCGCTATCGGAGCCATTTGTCCACTGACACTCAATGTATATTTGTTCTTCCAGAGCATTCTTTCTCTTTTATTTGATCGTTATTCTACAGTCACCACTCCTTTTTCCTATTCTCTAAATCATTATTCCACTGGACTTACATTTTTCCGTTGACATTATATATATACGTTCGGAAAAATACAGCTGCAGTCGGTGTTTTGAGCATATCGTCAGCATCTCTATATGTGGTTACAAGCTTGAATGGTACCCCGTTTTGATACAGCTCTATTGTAAGGATAAAACCTACTATTGTCCGGGCCATATAAGAGAGGATCCTACATAACCCTAGATTGGCCCGAACAACACCATGTTTTATCCTTACAATAGTAAAGAATAACTACTAGCCCCCATCGTGTGAGCTGGTAGCTCTTCTCTACTATTCTAAGGATAAAACATGGTGTTGTTCGGGCCAATCTAGGGTTATCTAGGATCCTATCTTATATGGTCCGGACAATAGTACGTTTTATCCTTACAATAGGACTGTATCAGAACGGGGTACCAGTCAAGCTTGTAACCCCCATATATAATGTTCAGTGTGTGTTTCTCTGCACCGAGTCAAAGGTCAAGGGTTAATGGTCAAATAAGGCTATAAGGGGAAGGCGCCAAAGGCTATTATATGGAGAAACCTATAGGCCCTCAAGGACTATTATATGGAGGTACCCATAGGCTCTAAAGGATGTCAGACAATAAAGAGATAAGGCTAAAAGAGGTACAAGGGTCATAAAGCTACATGGACTATAGAAATATGTGCGATAGAAGAGTATGAAGCCGTAAGGCTTCGATCTATATACATGATATCGCGTATCTGTATGTCTGGTATCCGATGAAAAGTTAAACGTCTGGACTCAGTCGTTAAAGGAGATACGAGCCGTGCAATATGCCAGGCCCTTGCTAGTAAAAACATATTTTTAAAACAATAATACCACATTCTGAAAGCACATAGAGTTTTATATCACCCTGTATATTTATGTTTTAGTTTTTACTTTTGCATTACCACAATAAATTGAGTACAATGAAGACATTCTCATGTCCATATGCCCACAGACTTGATTATGCTATTGTCATCAAAATCAGTTTTTAAAATTTTTCATCACTATAGAATTATCTTTTTGAAAATAGCAATTATATATTCTGATAGAGCTTGAAATTCTCTATCGTCCTATATATTTGTCTACTGTCTTACATTTATCTATCACCAAAATAATTCGAGTACAATGAACACACCCACAATTGATAAGTACACAAATTCGCTGATTTTTATCCTTTTTTCGAATGCTAAGTACAAAGGAAATAAGTTTTTACAAAAGCAACTATGAATTCTGATAGAACTTCTAACTCTCTATTGTTTTATATGTTTTTGTCTTATCTTATATTTATATACTGAAAAGTAATTCGAATAGTGTTTAATATTCTTCTTGATGAACCCTAAAAACCTAGATTTTCTCCTTTTACTTTTTTTTTTTGTATTTCCAGTTTATTATCATTTTTATTATTAGTCTAGATATAAATTTTGAAAGAAGGAATTATATTTTCTGACAATGATTTACTTTCCCGATCATTCTGAACTTCTGAAACAAAAAACAAAAGAGATCGTTAAAAAACCCAGTTTTTGTTTTCAGTTTGTCAATAACCATGCCTACCTAATACTCAAATTATTCTTCCGCACATAAATGCAACACAGAATGATAGAGAATGTGAATATCTATGAGAATGCGTCATTATTCTTCTACAAGCTTCCTTCCTTTGTACTTATAATTGGACGTGAAAAATAATAAAAAAACGTAGCGAAAATGTAGATTTTTCGCACTTGTCAATTGAGGTTGTCTTCATTGCACTCAATTTATTTTGGTAATACATAAGTGCAAGACAGTAGACAAATATATAGGAAGATAGAGAATATCAAGCTCTATCAGAATATATAATTACTTTTGTAAAAAGATAATTCTATAGTGAACAAAAATGTTTAATAATTTATTTTGATGACAGTGACAAAGTCAAGTCTGCGAGAATCTGGACATGCGAATGTCTTCATCAGAGGTGGGATCGGTTGGCATTTTTGCCAAACCGAACCGACCGTAACCGAAAAAATCTCTAACCGAACCGAACGTAACCGACCGAATTTTTTAAAATTTCTAACCGAACCGACCGTAACCGAAAAAATCTCTAACCGAACCGAATGTAACCGACCGAATATTTAAAAATTTCTAACCGAACCGACCGTAACCGACCGAATTTCAAAAATTTCGTAATCGAACCGAGTTTAGAGAAAGCGAAGTTTAGCTCATTTTAGTTAGGGTATTAGTGCTTTATAAATTAGCAACAACAAATCAAATAATAGCAACTAAAAATAATGAACACTTAGAGAAAGCAAAGAATAAAGATTATTTATTGGATCTTCTTACTGTATTATAACTTCCTTACCTCTCAGGGCAAATTTTAAAAATATGTGAGATAATCTGCGTTGCGAGCAACAGCTAGTTGTTGTACGATTATATTCTTTTTTCTTCTTATGTTTCACTGAAAAAGTCCATTGAACTCAAATGAAACGATTATGTTGATTCTTTCTAACCGAACCGAACATAACCGACCGAATTTTTTAAAATTTCTAACCGAACCGACCGTAACCGAAAAAGTCTCTAACCGAACCGAACGTAACCGACCGAATTCTCTAAAAATCTCCAACCGAACCGATTTCGGTTACGGTCGGTCGGTTCGGTTCGGTTAAAAACCGAACCGGTCCCATCTCTGGTCTTCATTGCACTCAATTTATTGTAGTAATGCAAAAGTGAAAACTAAAACATAAATAGACAGGGTGATAGATAACTTCACGAGCTTTCAGAATATGTAATTAGTTTTAAAACAATCAATAGCTAATAGTATTTATTTTTTGGGACTTATTGGGTTTTTGAAATAAATCCCACATAATTCCTGAAGGTGAGGGTAAGGGCATGGATGAGGATGCGCTGAAATACTGATACAGCTAATAAATCCAAATAAGTCCTTTATAAAAAATAAATTCCGGTAGCTCTTCAAAACAATGTGTCTTTATAGTGACAATATATTTGAAATATGGACAATAACTATTTTTTTCAGGGCGTATAATGTTATTCCAAATCCTATTTCAAGATATGATGATGAGAGTGTGGACCAACCCAACCAATCAAAAATTAATATAATGACAATTAATGTGAAAATTACACTAAATATGTCATTAAGTTCTAATGTCGAATGAAGAGAAGTTCGAGCGTGATGACTTTTTTAAATGAACCAGAGGAGCATTCCGTGAAAAAGATAGTTATAAAATTAAATTGCATACTGAGAATTGTTACTATACATGAACATATTCTCGTGTAGAAGAAAAAAATACATATAGAAAGAGAGCGAAAGACTACTGACAATTCTTGCTGAAAACGTTTTTTAAAAATTTTTGCTGGGAACTTGGAAGTACCTGTTCGAAAAAATTAGATGATCATGTTCAGCTTGTCGAGCTCTTGCGAATGATGTATTTTTCTTTGAGTTGGCATGAAGTCAAATTTTTCGACCCGGTTGTTATGAAACAATCAAACTGACAGAAACAATTTGTTAAGACAGTTTTTCCAATTGATGAACAATAAACAAAATCTAATTCTGATTTATTTAAATCACTGAAGAAAAGAAAAGATTTTCTTTAGAAATAACTTGAAGAATTTCTCATTGAATTATTCAATTGATTTTTGATCAAGATAAGAAAATCTTTTCCTCGACAATAAACAAAGAGAAATAACAAATGATTTAGTCTATTGAAGAAATAATTTTTTCAACATTGATTGAAGAAGTTTCAAATTGAGTTGTTGTTTTTTTGGTTTATCTGAATATTATTTGGTTAAAACATTTTTAGAGAAATGTGAGTTCTATCATTCATTTATTTATTATTAAAATCCATATGAATTATATTCATAGGTAAAAGGGAATTTGTTTAAGGCATGCTGCTAATACACGAAAGAATTGAATTAAAGAGAAAAGAATCAAGCTTTCACAGCGTTCTTTCCGGATCACTTCAACTGAATCTCGAAGACAGCTATGAAGTTACAAAGTGAGAGTGATTAAGAAGGAAAAAAATGCAAACGGGGTTAAATTATTGAGTTCACTAGAATAAATTCGATGCCATTAAAATCCAATTGATGTTTTCTTTGTGAATCTGTCTTGTCCTGTTAAAATGTGATCCCATTTATAATTTGTAACAGGACGAACTAGCAACCATTGACCAATAATTCTTCCAGGAGCACCGTCTTTATCATTATAATCGTCTTCAGAATAGAATCCATTCCATGTTGTCACAGAACCAATATTACCCCAATGAACAGTAAAACTCACAACAATTACATTATGTTTGCCAGTTACCATTGGAGATAAGTTAACAAAACCATTTAATGCATATTGATCACCGGCTGTACCTGATGGCGATCGATAATTTCCTTTAATTTGCAATGATGGTTTAAAAACATTAGTAATATTTAATGTCGAACCCAATTCATTGACCCACACACCTTTTAATATAGTAGCAACATTTCGGACACCAGTATCGCTCACAGCAGCAGTAGTTGCTTTAGCAAGACAACCAAAAATGAAAATCAAACAAAAATAATGCATGCCAGAAGTTTTGCACTCTAAAGGAAAGAAGTGTGAACGGCAGCTATAGTTTATAGTTGGCAAGCTCTTTTCAAATTTTTAAGCTATTACCTTACTGAGTCGAAAATGTGGAAAAAACCTTTAGTGAACGAGAAAATGCAATGGTATACTGTTCGTACTGTATATATAGGCGATGTGTGCCTTGCAAAAAAAATATTCTCTCACTTAGATTAGAATTATTATGGGAACTTTTCCCATGTATCAAATAACGAAGATATCGAGTTGAATGAGTCAGAAAAAATTCTTCTATCGGCTATATTTCGTCGTAGGAATGTTCCCATAGACTAAAAGATAGATAGCAAGCTGAAAGGAGAATTATCCAACAGAACGAACGACTAAGTGAAGAAAGAGAAAAAAGAAATTTAACGACATTACAGAAAAACACATATTGAATGTATGGACGATTTGCAATTTCATTTATATCATTTTAATCCGAGATATAAATTCGCAATAACTCTGATTTCTGTTGACTAAAAGCGCTACTGAGAACAAACGGATATACAAACAAACATTGAATATCGTCACAAGTGGTAGAGAAATGAAGACCTGAAATCAACAAATTTTGTGAGCTCCACAAAACGAAGTAGTTCTATTCGTATAAAAGCATATTCATTTTGTTTGTTTTGAAGTTATTAAATCAACATAGAATCTGATTCTAAAAAAGAAAATCCGCACAATTTTACGTAAAATATAATCACCATATCCTATTCATAAATTTTCTTTTAACGTGTTCTGCTCGATTCTATCATTTATAGAGTTCTCGAAACAGAATCCAGCAAGTAATGATAGAAGACGATTAAATGGGATTCAGTTGAAGGTCAAGGCACCCGTAGCGCCGAGTGTTACTTGTTTGTACAATAACACTTAACTATATGTTATTTCAGAAAACGAATTTAATATTAATTCAACAAAACGAAATATTTCAAATGACATCAAATACAAATAACATAAAAACTATGACAATTATAACATAAGTGAATGAGCGACTTTTGAATGAAATATAAAATTTTAATTTTACTATAGACCATGAATAAAATAATCTCTCTAACACATTTTTTGACTTATCAATATAAGCAAGTGTTACGAAGTGTAAAATAGTTAAGTAACATTGTGTTCCTAATGTTTTTTTATTTTTTTCCAACATGTTTAAAACATTTAATGATGATATTTTAACACAAGATGAATAATTTTGTTTATCTTTCAGGTATAAATCAGATAAAACTAATCCATGATCTAATTTCGATTCACCTTGTATGAGATCTTAAAGATCTTTTGCAGTAATTCTGTATGAACCAATAAGTAATGTTGCTGACTTAGATAACAACCTGTTTCTTAATTTAGTACAAGTGTGAATCGGGTCTTGAAAAAAAACAAACAATTGTTTTGACCATAAAAAAAACCATGATGACCATGACTTTGGAATTTGTATATTAAATATATCATCTCGATTTAATAGATTAATGTTTGGGAGTTGTGCAAAATAACCTTAAATATATAAAAATACATTTGTAAAATGATATTTTATGTAATAAAACTAACCAGTAGCTAATCTCATCGCTCTGAGGTATTTGGGATCTGCATCACTAGCAAATCCTACGACTCGAATATTATGAGTTTGACATTGTTCATAGACATATAGCCAACGACAAATTATTGAAATAGTATCATATGAATTATCTGTACCAAAACCACACTGTAAAAAAAATTCGTAGAATAATAAACCCTAGTACTTAAGGAAAATCTTCCTAAACCCTTAAAGGGTTTATGCTTGTGTGCTAAACCCTTAAAGGGTTTTTGTGCGAAAGGGTTTCTGAGAAAAAGGGTATTTAAAAATAAAAAGGGTTTATGACAACCGAAAAAGGGTTTTTTGTTCTACCCTTTCATGAAAAGGGTTTATTATTGTACGGCTAAGGGTTTATTGTTCTACTCTTTTATGAAAAGGGTTTATTATTCTACTCTTTCATGAAAAGGGTTTATTATTCTACGGATAAGGGTTTACTGTTCTACTCTTTTATGAAAAGGGTTTATTATTCTACGGATAAGCGTTTATTGTTCTACTCTTTCATGGAAAGGGTTTATTATTCTACGGCTAAGGGTTTATTGTTCTACCTTTTCATGAAAAGCGTTTATTATTCTACGGAAAAGAGTTTATTGTTCTACCCTTTCAAGAAAAGGGTTTATCATTCTACGGCAAAGGGTTTATTGTTCTACCTTTTCATGAAAAGGGTTTATTATTCTACGGAAAAGGGCTTATTGTTCTACCTCTTCATAAAAAGGGTTTATTATTCTATGGTCGAGGGTTTATTGTTCTACTTTTTCATGAAAAGGGTCTATTATTCTACGGACAGGGGTTAATTGTTCTATCCTTTCATGAAAAGGGTTTCTCATTCTACGGTAAAGGATTTATTGTTTTACTTTTTCATAAAAGGGGTTTATTATTCTATGGTCAAGGGTTTATTGTTCTACCTTTCTGTAAAAATAGTGTTTCATTATTCATTCGCGAAGTCATAACCGAAAGAAAAAGTCGATCGCAGTTGATTATAATACAGATGATGACTATCAAGATAGGTGTAGATGTGAGTGTGGATGGGCGTGTGGCTGGGTGTGGGTGATGAAAAGAAAATTAACACTCACTCACACCCACACTCACTCACACCCACACCCACACTCACTTACACTTACATCCAAATTCAGCCCACACCCACCCGCAGCCAAAAATTATTCGGACGGCTGTCAACATCTATCTTGTGGAGCAGATTTCTCAATGAAGAAAACATATGTTTTTGACTCTGATGACATCATTGGATAGTTCATCATCTTTACTTTCGTATTGAAATAGTTTTTTCTCTATATGGTCTTCGAAAAGTGTTACAGGGTTCTCTGAGAAATGATCGCGTCCGACAGCAAAGAAATTCTTCGGACACCTGCATTTTTTTCCTTATTACAGCTCTATTTTGTATTGAAACATTTCGAATTATGTATCATTTGATAGAGAAAACATTTCTCTAGATGTTGATACGATCAAAAGTTGAAAAAGAAGGTAAGAGGATGGTGAAAATTCTTGAATACTGGAAGCACCATAGATTTGACAGAAAACCTTGGGTTTCCAGCTTCAGGAAAATGGAAACATAAGTCAAAATATATGATTTGAAAGGACAGAACACGCTGAATCCACCCACATCTTTTTTTCTGACTTTTTTCAAATGTTACCTATCATAATCGCTAATTACAATTAATATTTGATACACCACGCCTAATATTCTCAATTTTCGGGTAACTATATTTTATTTAGAAATTTTTTCAATGATTCAGACTTGTAGAGAATTAAATTCTCTACAAGATGATGTAAGTTGAATGCATAGTAGCTACTTTCCTTAGACACAATTAATACCTATCTGTTCAAATGCATTTTCTTGAACTTCTTTCATCGACGTCATCGTATATATGATATGGAAAAAGCAACAGAAAGGAAAAAATGTTGGTTCTTTTCTCGCAATACAATGTACATGAATAAATAGGTACTAATCGTGTCCAAGGAAGATAGCTACTGTACATCCAAGCATATTATCTTGTAGAGAATGTAATTTTCTATAAGCCTGTATATTTCAAAAGATTTTTCTAGTGCAATTTAGTTGCTCAAAACTTGAAAATATTGGACAAACTATAGCAAATATTAGTTTTAATTACTGACTCTTACAAATAATATTGGAGAATTTCGTAAAACCAAAGATGTGGTTGGTTTCAGCATTTTTCCCCATTCAAATGATATATTTTCAGTTGAGTTTTCATTTTTCTGAAGTCGAAAAACGAGAGCTTTCTGCAAAATCCATGGTGCTTCCGGTATCGAGGATCTTCGGTATTCTTTTAGCGGTTTTTCCAATTTTTACACATACCACTGTGTAAAGAAATGTTTTCTTTATCAAATGATATGTAATTCAAAATGTTTCGATGCAAAATAGACCTGTAATAAAGAAAAAAATGCAAGTGTCCGAATAACTTCCTTTACTTATAATATCGACGCCTTCTGAGAAAACCTTCTAGAATTTTGTGAAAAATACCCTGAGAAAAGAAAAATTTCTATGCAAAAGAAAGTAGAGATGATGACCTATCGAATGATGTAATCAGAGTCAAAAAAACGTTTTCTACATTGAGAAATTTGCTCCACAGATAGATGTAGTGAGGTATCTGAATCATTTTTTGTCATACTGTAGATCAATTTCGACACCAAAATGAAATGTAAGTACGATCATTCAAACACTTTAAATTTTTTTTATTTAAACTACTTTCCACAACAAGATGAATTGTAAGTATAGTTTATATTAATAGTTTTTCTTTTTTGTACTCAAGTCAACTGCGAAAACAAGATAAAACATAGTTTTTATATACATAAAAATAGTATAATGAAGTTAAGTATTATTTTTATAAACTTGTCTTTCTTGGCTAACGAGGGAACGTTTCGAACTGATAAATCGCTATTTAAATTTTAGTATTTCCAAATCGCAGAGCTTGTTGAGTTAATAACTAATATGTCAATCATTTGTGCCAACAGCGCTCTTAAGAATTAATCTCCTAATACATGATGTTCAGTCTATAGGATAGGGGTGCCGGCTTAGCATTAGTATTAGGAAAATGCTAATACTTTGTATTAAAATTAAAAAATTAACTTAATGCTCTGGTATTAGTGTTGAAAAAATAATTTAATACTTTGGCATTAGCATTGAATTAAAATTAGTATTAAATTAGCATTAGTTAATACTTTTTTCTTAGGCATCAGCATTAAGTAATACTAATTTAATACTAATTTTAATTTAATGCTAATGCCAAAGTATTAAATTATTTTTTTAACCCTAATACCAGAGCATTAAATTAATTTTTTAATTCTAATACAAAAGTATTAAAATTAGCATTAATTAATGCAATGCTAATGCTAAGCCGGCACCCCTACTATAGGAGAACATGCC